GGATACACACATGTGCCTATGGATTAATTAGGTCGACAAGATGAAGCGCTCAGTGTGTCTGCGTGTGTGTGTATGCGTGTGCCGAAAACCTGGCCGTCACTCACGCTCTCATTCATCGCGTATCCGCTGTCACATCAGATAAATTTTCCTCTCCTGTTTCTGGTCTGTTAAGTTGATCAGTTTACCATCCAGACACACGCATGAGAAATCGCCACTTTTGCAGATGGATTATTCTGAAAGGCCAGCGTACAAACAATTATTCAACTATTCTCGCCGCATGCACAATTGTGACACTTGGTCAAGCGAACCAGGTGAACTGAGTGATGGTCCCAACAGGGATAAGGATGCATGCGTTCCAGAAAAATGAGCCTTTTTTGTGTTTTCTATCTCTTGCATATGACAATCGCCATGGAGTTGACTTTGTGTTATTATTACAGTAAATACAATGTTTACTTTTCCTAAACAGCTCTTTCTTCCTCCATCTGTCTTGCTGTCGAAAGACTACGCATCTCTGGGGATGAGCATTTCTATTCCACCACCGGCGAAAGAAACGACCAACTGATCAACGTGAAGTTACAAACTTTGCGTGAGAACGTATTTGCTTGAGTCATTCACAGTTTCTAGACTTGAGTTTTCATTATATTATTTGAATGTCAACATGGGGATTTTAATTTAGTTCCAACCATGATTAAAAAACATCCAACCTGAGGTAAACCTGGTCGACAAATTGCTCTTCGGTGATCAATTTATCTGAAGCATTAGAAAAATTAGTTTAATAACTAATGCATAATGTAGATGTCACAATGCCCAGTCTCAGATTGCAAGTGTCATACGAACGGCAATTTCGCCTCAGCTTGGAGTGGACAAAAACGACTGAAATAAAACAGATACGTGAACAAATGTATTAGCATAACACAGCAAGGTTGTTTGAGGGAGAAAAATGAAATTCAATCTTAACTTTTGACGCAGTGTCCGTTTGAATTTCGCCGGACTGCTTTCAGTTTGTTATTTGTTCATTTCCCCCACCCACCCATCGTCACACACACACACACAGACCAATAAATGTGTGCGTCTGTGTGATTGCCGAGATGACAGCTGGATTGCACAGGGATATGGAAATCAAGCTCCAGGGGGCGGAGCGTACGGAGAGCTTGTTTGTGACCGTAATCAACGCTATTCGTGTTTGGCAAACCCACTCACTGTTCACTCTGGTGCACACAGCATCACGTTCTGTTTGACCTGAGACGATGCCCGTGTTTGGTCCATCATTTGTACAAACGCGATTCGCATAGAACAAGGGATTATCCTGTCCCGTTTGATCATTCTTAAACTAATCATTTCAAGAACTGACTAGTATCGATCAAACAAACCGGGTGAGATAATGAGTTTCTCCTCGATGAACTGAAAAGGGTCAAAATCGACCACGGTGATCGTACCACGTCACCCAGCAAACTATTCAAATTATGTATAAAGTCTTTTCAAACTCTGAATTCACACATTCCCGTTGAAAGAATTTTGTTTTGGTTCACAATGTGTTTTGAATGGTTTTTAAAGAGATGTTCCTTTCGTTCTATTTTGTGAGTAGTGGGATTGATAAATTTTTCCCGCTCTTTCACTCTCTTTCACTCTCTCACTATTTTGGCACCAAGTAAACTGCCTCCGATTTTGGCCCGTTAGTCGAATAAAGTGAGTGACTGTTCAGCGCTGTGCCAATGGAGCTCAAAAGGCCACTGACCTGTAAAACCCTGGTTATTATCCGAACACAAATGCAAGATGGGAACGATTTATTGTCTTTTAGATTGTCTACTTGACTGGCAGAGAAGTGTGACATAAAAACAAAAAAACTGTGGGCAAATTATCAACGATACAAAATACAATCGGGAGACTCAGTCAGTGAAAATTGCTAGACTGTGGACAGCGCTGGCTGTTGTCTCTAAAAGACAAATCTTTGTATATCCAGGGCCAGTTGAGAGTGCCAACGCTGAAGTATTGACCTGTGGGTTTTCAAAGGTTGAACCCTAACATCAGCACTGAATGAAAGTGAGCATTTATCATATACGAAAGCAGTAAATTCAATGTACATCTCAGCAAACTACTGGTTTGAACCACATTATACTTCCTTACACGTGAATATGAGATTGACCGTACATTAACGTGGGATTTTCATTCCCTTTCCTGGGACCTGATAATATATATCTCTCCGAAGCGTGTATGTGTTATGAGCTACTACTCATAGTTCTGAGTAGTACGCAAAAGGATACCGAAGGTGTTTCATTCAAGGGTCAAAAATGAACAAGGCCTATTAGAGTAGATTACTATGTTCGAAATGATAACTACGGCCTGTTCCCTTCTCCATCTTGTATGTGGCCGCGATTTTGATGGTATGTATGTTCAAAATGGGATATATCGTTATATGTACGGCAAATTATCAATACTCTAACTCTGGTTCGTAATAAACGATTCGCCTCGAGCCAGCACTGGTCTTTTGGAATTGTAACAACTGAAGTGATTATCCTGCGGACGTCACTAGTGTTCACAATTCCAAAAGACNAGAGTTAGGGTATGGATAATTTGCCGTACATGTGACAATATATCTCATTTTGAACATACCATCAAAATTCTCGGCCGAACATAAGATACTGACTGGAACAGACTGTAGTTATCATTTCGAACACAATTCACTCTAATTGGTCTTGTTGATTTTTGATCGTTGAAAGAACCCATCAATCGCATCCATTTGCGCACTACTCACAGAGATGAGTAAAACTTGACAACAGTGTGTGCTTAACATACAAGTCTTCAAACATGCTAAAACCATTTTTTTAGAGTATCAAGCTTGGATTAGCCTGTTCGATCATTCAAACGCATCGAGCACTCTTGATGGTCTTGTCTGTGGGCCTTACTCCTTGGGAAATCGTTAATCCCCCACCTTTTGTACGCATTTAAATGCGAAATAAATGTTTGCGATAAACGACAAAGAGCAATAAACAGCTGTTTCGTCCTGTTTAGGACTGGTCATCAGTGCGTTCGTTTTCTACCCATGTCAGGACTCGAACCGCGATTCTTCTGGCTGCGACTTCAAACCTTAAGCTACACGGTCGACGATTATCACCTTGTGCGATCAATCAGTTTTTAAAGTATCAAGCTTGGATTGACTCATTCGATTGTTCAGGAGTACCATGTTTCTGTGTTTTTGAAACTGTCTTTATGACTGAAATAGAACCCATATGTAATGGTGTTTGAATACAATTTGGAAGACATTTAAGAAAATTCATTATTTTCTCTTCTACTTTGTCCATTTCCTTTCATTTCTGAAGAAATTACGTACTCGATTGTTTAAACCTTACTACATTAAGTCTTATGTTCGTGTTCGTTTATAAAAAACATGTCACCGGGAATTTCTGATTCAGCTGAATTTTTTTTGAGTCACATGTGGGAAGTGTGATACGGATTTCGATTAACCGTACGTCAAACAATAACTTCACAAAAAATTCCCAGTTCATCCGTCCAACCCAGCACACAGGAATAGCTAGACTCTAGTTTTGCTCGTGTTCCAACTCATTCGTACTGCATGTTTACGGATTCGTCAAACTGCGTTAAAAAACCTGACATGGAAGGTGAACGGGAGTTTGTTTGTTAACTGCCAAATAACTCCGGGGTTGACCGGAATTCTGAACTCTGCGAAATGAGGTGATTTACAACCCATTCTTTTTGAATTTTGGTAGCCGAAAATCAGTTGATTCCCAATGCTCCAGTTGAAACAATTATGTATGTAGTTGATTCCAGTGTTAAATTGCGGCGAAGTTACTTAAGGAAAAAAATTAACGCCCATGTTAAACCGATGGCGAAACAATCAAGACCATCCATTTGACTTGAAGCCGTGCGTGGATGGTTGATGCGTACTCCTTTACGCAGCGGGTTCTCCACCAGTAGGGCTACAAAGCCACACACAGAGTGATGATCATTTCATCACCCAACCGAAACTTATGTTTTATTATGGGACTACACACGGGACAAAAGTCGCTTGGACGTCCTGTTCTTCAAGCAAAACAAAGCAAATTTCAAACCGGATGGGTAAACTCTTTGTGGAGCATCAAATTTTGTTGAATTTAGGTGCTGACTGGCCCATAGAATAGTTGCTTTAATCCATACGGTGATAATATGCCCATAGGTGGATCTGGTGTGTTTAGGAAATTAATGTTAGAAGGACTCGTTTCTACAATGGTGTGTATATGATATGCAATGTGAAAAAATGACGATGATTTTCTGGTGTGAGGTGGGGGTGGTTGTGTTCGGCTCTGGCAACATGCAACATGACCTCAAACGGGTTTATGAGGAAGTGATGCTGATCATATTTTCCGGGATATTTCTCAAACCAAACCACTCAAAGAACTTGGATACTAACGAGCGTTGCATAATAAGGAGGATTAAGAATTTTATCCTAAAAATAAAGATGTATCGAGAAATGCGTGTTTCATTGGGGGTAATATAAGACTTTCAAAACAAACTGAACGTTTTTGCCTTGATAGAAAAGGTATGTAAATTGTAATTGGGAAACTGATTTTCACAGGCAAACAGTTTTTGATTTTATTCTGTGGTTAAAAAGCAAACATATATCTCCAAACATATCTAATCATTTCAATGATGCACTCAATTCCCACCATTATTTTCGGTCCAAAGGTTCGCACCAAGGTCAATCGGTAGGTGAAAAGTACACAAATTCTCTGTCACCTAAAAAGCTAATGAAAGACCTCATCAGTGCATCATCAGTTCAGCGTGTTTTGATTGGTCGTTTTGAAGAAATGTGTTTTTGACCAATCGAATTTATTTGCCCCAGGTACATTGTCGACCCGTTTGATTGGAATACAGTTGACCTTTATATTTGGTCTATGTGATTAGGGAAATTGCCGGGCAATCTGCCTGCCATCGTACACGCACACGTACGGAATTGTTCCACATGTAAGATGTGCCATTATTTTTCCTGATTTGAATGGGACATCATGACCGAGCCGAGTGCGTTGGATAATGTGACCAACAATCTGTTTAATCGTTGTCGCCTATTCATTGAACAGGCCCAAGCTGGCATATTGACCGATCCAGATGCGATCTCATTGTGCTTGCCTTCACAGTACAAAATCTGGGAGGCTATTCTCATCGGATTGGTTCTCACCATGTTAACAGTTGCAACAGCTGGCGGTAATCTGCTGATCGGATTAGCAATCCTGCTCGTAAGACGATTACGCAATCCGGCGAATTTGTTACTGTTAAATTTGGCGCTATCCGATTTCATGATCAGCTTATTGGTACTGCCGTTTGCCGTTATTTATCAGCTGACTGGATATTGGCCATTTGATCAGAACGTGTGCGATGTATATATTGTTTGCGATGTGCTCCTTTGTACCGCTTCCATCCTGAGTTTGTGTGCAATTTCAGTGGATCGATATTTGGCGATCACGCGACCACTGACCTATGCATCAAAACGTACGACAAGTCGAATGATATTCATGATAGGTACATGTTGGCTTTTGGCCGGATTAATCAGCGTTCCCCCAGTGTTTATTTTTGAAAAACCCAAACTACTGTTCCACTGTGGATACAGTGAAGATTTGACTTATCAGATCTATGCCACATTCAGTGCGTTCTACATTCCTTTGTTTATTATGCTGGTCCTGTACGGTAGAATCTATTTCATAGTACGGAAATTGGCTGTCACAAACAGTCGTGCATCATCTCAATTGTGTGAAAAGTTGAATTTGAGCGACATTCCCGTCGAACGATCAAATGGTTTAGGAGGTCGCGGTGAACGATTACCATCAGCTGAAATGGGTGGTGAGCATTTGGCATTAAAAACACCGTCTCAGAGCCCTTTGTGTGGTCGAACTTCAGCCAGGCTGGAAAGTATATGCGGTGAGGGAGGCGCATGTGGTACACGTTCACAAATCCACGAAAATCCACGAACGATTTCCAATGACTTAGGACCAGCGATGCGATCGAACTCAAACAGATTAATACCACCGTTTGGTCTAACCAGTCTGCAAATGCAGTCATCTACGTTCTCGCGACTATTATCCAAGGGGTCAAGAAGAGAATCGTTATCGTCCGAACCGATTCCACGAAAACGTGGCTTCGCGAACAGTTCGGAGAACGCAAAAGCTGTCATCACTTTGGGTGTGATTATGGGAAGTTTCACTTTGTGTTGGCTACCCTTCTTCCTATGTCAGGTAGGTCATAGCTGAACGAAAGAGTTTTGCTTATTCATCTCACAACTCCATATCGTTTCAGTTGCGTTTGATTTGTTCTCTAAATCAAAGTGCTTCTAGTTAATAACTGGTTCCCTGGATCTCATCGCTGTTAGCGTGATCGTAATTTAATCTCATCGTTTTGCATTCGCTTACTTCCCCATCATTCATGGTGACGCTGATTCAATAATTAATATATGAACATAATGGTAAAATAACTGGGGAGCCGTAGATCGACTCTGAGGGACAGCGTTGAAAATAACCGGTTTCTTTAGCTTTTAGAGCACGATTTGTGGGTACTGATCTAGAGCACAGTGATTTACTGACAGTATAGAATTGTTATCCTTCGTGACTGGTATTCATAAAATTATTTGTCTACTTAAAAATGATGTGGCTTTTCAAATATATGGCGAACAAAATGAGAATGGGATTGTCGGTTGTTACCTTGCAAATACTAGTAAAAAGCCAACTATTCTTTTCACCGAATCGGATTGTAAAAGGAAGTTCAGGAAAGAAGAGAAAGGAAGAATTTTGCAGCTAATCGGGAGTGAAGTGGGAACAGAAAATTGGGTCAGTGACACGATGGGGGCAGAAGTTGGACCAACGACTACCAGGTCAAAGTGATGCTGACCTTGTCTGCGTTACCGTCACCCCACTTATTCGGTATTTCCGAATGCATCAGTCATGGATATTTTCATGTTTTACGGCATCGAATTCGATTGATCCAAATTTTCACAGTGAAATAACTATGATAAAGTTTGTCGTGTACAGAGCCTAAGAACGGACTAACTCGGAAAACACGAGACAAATATTTTGACTTTATCGGCCTTGGTCTGTCCTTCAATAAAATAGAAATCTTTATCCAGGACTTCACAGATAGAAGGTAAGGACACTACTGTCTAACTTATCGGTCATATGTAAGAAATAGCGAGCTTTTATCCCAATGGATCCATCAACCTCTCATTTATGGGGTGGGTGCATTACGGGGGAAATGCTGAGTTTCTAATGTGTAGGGAAATGCACTAAATCCCGTAATAGATTTGGCTTCAAACCAACCTGATGTTAACGGTGGTATGCACAATGATCTTCTTCCTAAAATTCGTCGAGCTGAGGGATGCACGATTGCTGATGCGTCTGAATAGGGTAATACACGTCAAAGTAGTCCCACAAAGCACATTTAAACATAACAACAGAGTGGTAAACAAGTTCGTTTTCAAACATTCGTATTAATGCCAACGCATCTCAATGGATAATATTACCTGGGAATAAAATCGTCTTGGAGAAATAAAATACAATAGAATCAAATCGAAAATTACTGGAAATGATTTCATTATGATTTCGTGGGTTCTTATCGGGGCAGGTTCATTGTCGGATGTTGACTACAGAAGAAGCGGTGAGCATTCATCTACGCAAATCCCCGTCGGTGTGCCCGAAAACAATTTGAACAAATGTTCAAGCCTCCCTGGCACACACACATCCCCAAACACACACCGTATCACAAATAATCTCAAAGGTCGGATGACTGGACAAACAAATATGTAGTCGTGGTGAATCCGATTCCCGGTCTCATGATGAAACCATTTCTAGCAATCTGTGATGTCATTTTATTTTCCCAAGATAATACATGTGTTAAGATTTTTACACATTGACTAAGCTCGACGAATAAGCTATGATAAACGGATTTCAAAATCGCTTCAATGAATTAAATTTCACTCAACTCCTAATTCTCTCAATGGTGATTATGGACATCATTGTGAAAATTAGCTTTAAAAATAACTATCTTTTTGAATAATAGAATTTGGCTTCCCGGTCAATCGAAATTTTTTCCATTTTTTCGGTCCATGTACACTCCCATTTGTTATCATAAAACGCAGAACATAGACAACTGTGGACTTATTTGCCGAAATTGTTAGATGAAACTCACAATAATACGGTCGGCCGAGCGGCGGCCAGGAAGGGAGGAGTCATGCCGAGATTGTAGTTTCCGTTCCAACTGTTTTGATTCAGTTGACCCGTGTAAAGTTTCGCTTTTGCTTACTCGTTTGTAAACTGTCTGGAACTTTTTGTTTTGTTACCTAATCAACTTCAGATTACTAAGTAAGTAGTAAAGCAGTACAGAAAATAATTAAAAAAATTGTTATTGCAGTTCCAACAATCAAATTAGTTTGTTCCATTTCACATCACGCGCGCAATCAGTTTGAACTATTTTTTTGCACTTGTACTTAACAACCGACGGCTCAGTTGAACAATTTTTTAGCGATCACAACATCACGATATGGGGAAAGCGTTTGGGGTGAAGGCGCACAAGGTTTGTCGGTCCCATGTAACTGTTACCAGTTGTCTGTCACTGGTAATTTCCAGACATGCAGACACGCAGACAGACAGACAGCGTTTGAAAAATACACTAATTCCATGCTTTGGTTAATACAGCTTGCTTAGTACGCTTCACGTTGGGAGGTATTGTTTTCGTCGGAGAAACGCGATTCGCATTCCAAGTTATGAAAATAACCGTGTTTTTGCTAATAAAGACACGGTTTATTTGAGACTGTCCCCTCACCCAATCCTCACACAGTCCTTGTCATTGTTTATCCGAACCATGGAATGGGATCACACGGGAAAAAAATAGATCTGGAAAATTTAAAACACCATTCAATCGGTATTCGTGATGTTCTCTTAACATTAAATTCGCGATACATATATATTCACGGTTCACCTGTATGGTAAACGTGTACATTATATTCGTCACATCAGTCTAATTTCGGGGATAGAGTTGTTAGACTATGATTTTTTTCTAACGGATTCAGTTTTCTGTTACCCCGAATGAGCTAATCGAATTATTTGGAATGTTTGTGTCTTGTAGTTTGCGTTGACTACCAATACCTATTTGGTGTAGCACATTTACTTATCAGTGAACCTGATTCACTAATTTATCCACACATGCATTTGGAATGAAAATCGATTCCATCATCACGACCAGATGAGGATTTCGGTCCGTTCATTTGGGAGCGGCGCAGCGGGAGCGGGTGGTTGAGAAATAGCATTTATATTAAAACCGGGTCATCAGGATCGATCGCGAGTTTTGAATGGCTCAACAGATATATATTCTTTCACTTCTCATTTTTACCGACCGGGTAATGTCTCCATTTACCTTTTCTGATAAACGTGGTAGACATTTTATATATACTTCTATTTATTACAAGATTTGAGCAGTTCGCACTGCTTTAGTTCACACCTGAAGAACTCCAACAAGTGTTATGACTGGTATTTCCACATGCCTGCATAAGTTTGGTTAGTAGCTAAAAATGAACAGCACTTCCTAAGTAGTCATAAATTTAACCAATCATGAGTTGTAGATCAGTTTGGTTGGTGTCCCCGTGTGGAAGTGACTGTCGCAGAGATCCCAGCTTATTCTACCGTTCATGGAAAACCAAATGAACGGCATTCCATCAGCTTGTATTCTGAAAAAGCACTCCATTTCTGGTGATTCGTTCACTTAATCAGTTTTGCATAATTTGTTTTGTCCATTGCAAATGTTTTATTGTCTGAGAAGACTCTGTTATGTCCGGGTATTGATCGAACCAGAGAAGCATGAAGCATACTTCGGAAATACATTTCAGTTTATAATATCATACGAGTATGTATAGCTATGGATGAAGAGTGTTTATTCCGAACATCGTCTCCTACTGCAATGTTCTCAGGTCTTATGTATCACCGTTTGAATTTGCTCGACCTTGAGTAACATGATACAATCTGTATTATTATTTTGAAAATTACCATTTAGAGTTTGAAAAGAAATTTTGTACAAGACAGCATGGAAGTCCATTCTTTTCAATACATGTTTTCTGTTCCACGGGGGTATTCGTTTGGGTCGGTAGACGTGAATGCTGCTCGAAACACATGGGGGACGTTGGAAACTAATCCGGTGTGTTGCACGATTTTGAACAATACCTGTACAGGTCAACTAAAGCACAAATAATTACTACGAAATACCGCACGGGGATATTATGGTATATGAATGGTAGGTCTCTTTCCATGATTGAATATGGTAAAATAATGCAACTCACTGCTACAATCTGTTAAATCTTTTTTTGCTTAATCAAAGATTGCATCAGAAAAACAATGTCGATGGATCAAAGGGTTTTAGTGAAACACACGCAAGGGAAAATATATTTTCAGGGGTAAACCCCATAGTTTGGAGAATTCTCTGTTCACAAATGGGACCCGTCGATTGTTGAACTCTCGCAGACCAATGAACACAACCCAGTTTGAGAAAACGACGGACAGTTGTGGAGCGAATTTATAACCATGAAACTATAGATCAGACGATCTCCGGTCGGGTTGTACAGACTTCAACTCTTGCACGTCGGGTTGGATTGGAAATTGTGCTGGGCTAAGATAATCTGAAAATTCTAATGGACAATGATGATCAAAGGAAATGGAGGGTGAAAAATTATGTGAAACATATGAACGCAGATTCTGACCTCGGCTTTAGTATGACTGAATAAAATGTAGTTATAACGGGTCATAAAAATGCATTGTTAATTTCCGTTGTTACAACACATTATCGTGATTCAAGTAGCTCGCCCTGATCCTCAAGTTGAGAATAATATTTTCACCCATTTAAAAATATGATGATCCTTTTACCATTCCGTTGAGTATACTGTTGTACAAATAGCGTTTAGTGATAGGGTCGACTGCAGTCATCCATGTTAACCTCTCTATCGTTGTCATGGCGGTCTTATTGATTTCCATTTTTTTTTAGACTCACCAAATTTGGTTTTCAAATAGAAGAAGGAGTGAAGAACAAGCTCGTTTTCAGTAATTCGTAGTCATGCCAAATACATCACAATAAATATTACGCTGTTTATATATAAATCAGTATTTAACCGCAAAAACACAAACAAATGTTTCGGGAAAGGGAAAATAACCTCATCGGTTATCTATAGAGCTAAGTTCATCTTGGGACCGGAAATGGAATTCTCAGTGATCACATAATTGTTAGGTCATCCGATCGTTGGGATCACTCTGAATATGGGGTGTGTTGGGGGTGGGCCAGGGGAGCTTAATCGCCTGCACAAATTGTTTTTGGGCACACAAAGGGGGGTGGTGCAGCCGAATTCCTACCTCTTCCGCTGTGGCTAGGATACGACAGCGAACCTGCCTTGATAATCGACCACGAACCCGATACAGGGGTCGGAATGCCTCGGTCACATTCACAGTGTGATTTGTTTCAGCTAGGTGTGAAACCACTGCACTAGTGACTGACTTAATCGTTCCTGTGTTTAACCATGCGGGGTGGTGGTCACGGATTCGTTCGGACAAACGCCTGACTGTGCGGTCTATGTACGTGGTTCCACAGGAACACGTAAATGAGTACACACAAAATGAGACGGCAGAATCCGGCATTTTGTCCTTTAGTCGTAAACACACAATTGCCTGGGAAGTGAACAAAACATTGAGCTTTGCTGCTAGAAGGTTTTACTAACAGCATCTGATAGTCTCCTTTGTATTACCTCTGCTGATGTATCCCCCCAAATTCGGTTTTCATTTGACTTTCAGTTCTTTGTTTCTGTCTTCCTTTGACTTTATTTATAACCACAAGTGAAACTTCCAGTCCGTTGTTTCATAACAAAGGTTATGAGCAATTCTGTTTATAGTCAGTTTCGTGTCATTCGCGTCTACGGCAACCTCTTTTCCTCGAGAAACTGGTAGTCAAGATTACTATAAATACGAGACTGGGTAGAGCAAAGTGTTCCAGAAGTACCAGAAAGATAGTCCAAAAAACTTACCTAGGATTTTATCCAGAATACGACAATTTTTTCCGGTCCTCTGCCGCTGATGTAAAGACTGTTCCGCTTGAAACTATTGATTTTGTTTCCGGGTACGCTTCTCCTCAATGGTCATTACGTTCCTGGGAGAAAATATATTTCCTCCTCCCCACGAGCAGTTATTCGGTGCCAATTTTTTCATCATTTTATTGAAATACAACTCATAATAAGATTCGAATCGTTTTCCTTCGTTGTCCGTTCTAAATTGCACAATGCGTCTTTTCATTGAGTATTCGTGTTACCTTCTGTTTGACACTACGAAACCTTGGAATCCGGAGTTCAACTTGTCACTATTGACGATTTCCTACAGCCACATGCTTTGTTTATCGCTATATCGTGTTATAAGACCGACGTTTGCTGTTTTATCTATTCTCGGTTTTCTTTTCATGGGCCTGAAATGTGATTAGATTACGAAAAAGCTCTACAGTGAGATCATTTGTTACGATCCAAATCAATTCCCGCACACACTCACAGCACCGCCTCGGTCATTCCTATTCTCCTCTCGATTTGCTTACCCCAGTGCTACCGACAACAACACCGTGTCTACTGATTCTCAAAGTACCATATTTATTGGGAGTTCTAATAGACTATAGCGAATAGGTTTTACTATACATTAGCGATGACCCTCAAATACTATCATATTCGGCGAGCTGTAACCACAGTTCGGACATCAAGGGTTGCCTATTATTCTTAGACGTCCACCGCATGAATTATTTTTACAAATCTAATTAGCACTTGCTTGGCGCGCTCAGAACGCGAATATGGTCGATTTGTTCGGGGTTGATTGAGAGGTCTGTGTGCAGGACCAGGAAGTGCCTGCCGCAGATTCATGATTATACACTGGAATATAATTGACAAAAGAAAGATAAACTGGCTCGGGTGTAGCATTTTCTACTCAGGTAGTATTTGTCTGGTAACTTGACCAGAGGGGTTCCGTTTTGAGTCTATCGGACGGAATGCCCCATCAACCACAGGGGATGAACAAACGACGGGGATACACGGATAGTATGACGCCAATAGGATTGTATCGTTTTCAGGTTGGAAATAAAATCAACAAGGTTTATTTAATTCAACCTCATTCGTTCATTTCTCCACTGATCTGACATGTTTGCACAGTTATCTCTTAAAGTGGAGCTGGTTATTATTGGTAACCTGAAATAGCCAGAGGCACACTTCGGTGAATAGATATATCACAATATGTAGCATGCATGCGGTTTGTTTAATGACTTGTGGATCGTGATGAAGTAAGTAAAGAAGCACTTTTATCCAGCTGTTTAACGATTTTATAAAAGCAGAGTGATCATATCCCGAAGGTCAAATTGGTTGCATTTATATATATATATATATATATATATATATATGGGCGAATATGTGTGTGTGATCTATTTGACGAACATGGTCAGTAAACTGAATTCCGTAGAAATCAACCCTGTGGTTTTGAGTTCCTCAACTTCATTCATTCATATAACTTGTCAAGGAGTTTCAGCTTTTGGCTAACAGTGTGACAATAAACACGAGATCGTTGTGAGGTCAAACGAACTCATTATTGTATATTAAATGTGCACAGGAAACCGGTGTAGGGTGAGACTAATCAATTTGGATGTCTTTGATCCATGATAAGTGATGCACAGTTCCACCCATTTCGAATAATCACCACGTTGATAGTTCTGCCATATGTGCTACCTTTAGAACTGATTTCCCCGAAACCCCTGTGAAGAAAAGATTGAAGCCATTCCAAATAAACGCTTAAAACATGAATTGAAATGGAATTTTATTTCTAGCGGTAGTGATATCCTGAACAGAACAACAATTATTTTTCCCCCGAACTGTAATTCGTCACTTTAACGTTCCAGCATACCGTATTTCATTACTGTGAATTCACGAGAGGAATGAGAAAGAAGGTATATTGGTAGCGCCGTTGGGCTGAGGGAAGGGATAGGAATTATCGATCGGTGTAGTTGCTTTTCGTTCTTTAGCCGTATCTTTCGTGAAGTATGAATAAATCAAGATTAATCTGTTGACAAAATATTGAAAATCGGTTCTCGTAGCTCGGGTGAACTGAATTTCATTTCGCCTGTTCGCCGAGCTTGGCAATTTGTTTGCAAACATTTCATCACCAGCCGAGGCGACATCATCAATGCTTGTGAAGTGGCCCGAACTCTTCTGCTGAATATTGGTGTGAACCCAGTTTTGTTTCTTTTCTCTTTGTCCACTACTGCAGAACACGTCCGCTAGCGTTTGTGCAAACTCATTCGTTAAAATAATACCAATTGTAGCGCTTTGTTGGACATCTAAGTGTCAAGGAAACGCCATACTAGAAAATGTAGTGGTGGTTGTCACTTCTAAAGCCCCAAATTAGATTAGTGCTTCCTGATTCGAATAAATCAGATTTAATGAAATCAATAGCTTATTAAAAATTAACTGTACCAAAACCATTTGGTAAAACAGATACATATTCTGTGATACTGGGGTCAGTGAAAAAGCAGCAGCACTGACGGAACTGATTTTTGTCACCGTCGTTTGGGATTCTGTGTTGAGGGCAGCGCCTATGTATATGTAGTCTGTGTGTGTGTGTGTGTGTGTGTGGGCNGGGTGGGTGAGTGCTGATACGAAGGTACATTTGTATTCTTTAAATCACGGTAGTGTGACGGGTTACGAAGAAATTAGTTGGATGCTCTTTGGACACACAGAAATACTTCTAAGAAATTAGGTTATACAGGTAACGAACCAACACGTAAATTCGAACGTCTACACAAATTGTGCCGATTGGGAAAACACATTTTGGGAAAGCAGATTTTCGAAATCCACCGTTTGAATACTTTTCAACCACAGAATAGTGTTTCAATGCAACCAGCAAACAGAGAGCTAAGAATGCAGTTTCATGTGGGGTTCGAGCAGGAAGGAGTTGTGTAACCTAATAGGCGAGCATACATCTCATGGCAACAGTCATCGGTTTCTACTATTTAGAACCCCGCGTGTTTGGAACATATCACTGTGACATTGTGCTTCGGGAGAGTACAAGAAAACTTTTCAAACTCAAAATAGCAATTGTCCTATGTTCCTTTCTATACAAAAGCATCAAACGAGTAATATTTCACAGTTAATCGAATCACGATTTTTAGCGAATTCACTCCGGCGAACATTTAAGGTTTCTAAACCAGAGGAAGAATTCGAACTTTGGTGTTAATTATTGAGAAATATGGGCCGACTGCCGTGATTCAAAAGTTTTCCCCATACACAACAATAAGTTGAACTTCATTGAACCCACAATGAAACAAGAAATGTATTATACTCAAATAGATATTCTCCCATTTCCCCCATTAAAATTTGTCTATTCTTCTTTTTTGTAGTATGCAAAGCGTTTTGCAACAACCCCTCCTAAGCTAACTGCTCTCTTTTACAACGGATTCATAGGTCTACGTTAGATACAATTTTGATGAAACAAATTATCGATTTTGTTTCTGATATTCAGTGTGAAGAAGAAGCATTTGAACTTGTTTATATCATACATTTATCCTCACCGCTTTCATGAAAGACTATTCACTTTTCGATAACCTTTGTTTCAGCTGCTCACTCCAATCTTGAATGCTTTCCATCTGTCCCTGAATCAAATTGTATCGCTCCAGGTTTTTCAGTTTTTCCTCTGGTTAGGTAAGTTTTATTGAATTTATTTCGCTCAACAAAGTTTCAGTTTGCCTGATACGCCCATGCAGGATCTATTCCGATTTCGTTCATCACATTTAGGACTAGAATTTTCAATCATATTCCTAGTTCACTTCTGATTATAATGAAAGTTAGGGAGCTGTTCACAGTTGAGCGGAAACGCGCACGCACCATACGATCAAAGTTAACGTTTCAAGGTCACGACACCACTGTTTCACGCTGATATTCTGTTTGTGCAAATCAGAGTTCAGTTCGTGGTCTTTCTGATAGATGGATATACGATCAGGTTGGTGAAGACGACTGCAATGAACTGAACGAGCCCTGGAACAATTTGTGAACCCATTCATTCCACCCATCTAGGACTTCCGTTTTGTGCTGTCATCGAATACTCACAACATTTCATACAAAAAAACCTTCAGCGAGTTAGGTCTTTGTGATTAATAATAAGCAACACAGGGGGAGAAACAAATATGATGCAACCAGTCAGAAAAAAGAAAACACCAGTGGATCGTGGTTAATCTCGAACTGGTTAACAACTGATGGAGAAAAATCCATTGTATTAGAGTATGACTCGGATTACACTGGGTGTCTGCAGTGTTGCATGAGCAATGTCACTATGTTATTCAACAATTTACTGGTCTTTACCGGTTGATTATATGACGGTTTGAGAAATAATTGCCCGTGGTTTCATTAGAAGCTTGCCAATTATTGTACGCTCCAGACTGAACCGAAAAAGAGAGCTGAAAGTTCTGGACCTATACAAGATAATGCTTCAATAACTAAAAAAAATGAAGAACAAAAGGTATGCAAGAAAAATATAAGAAAAGCGCTGGAAAAATTATACTATGCGATAAAATAAACCAGACAAAGTTCAATATCATTCAGGTGAATGAGCAATATCAGTGCCACGTGACTGTTTGCGTATTAAATCGTTAGCCTCTTGGATCGGGTTGACCTCATTTGCACATCCGATTGGTTGGGTTTACATTTGGTCGCGATTGTAGCTTAAAACGTGACCGCGCAACCTTTGGAACTTTTTTATTATGTGAGTAATGGAGGATTTAATTCAATGGGAAATGAAAAACGGCCTGATCAGCTGACCGAGTGGGTAGCATGCTTACGTCCTGTTGGTGAGGTCCCGGGTTCGATCCCCAGTTGCGTCGATGGCTTCACACGGGTGATGAAACCCAACCAGATCGAAACAGCTATCCAGTGCTTCCTATCTTTTCTGTTCATGCTTCATTTGCTTTATAAACGAAGAATTTCACGTCTGAAATTTTATTATTAGGTGAACACAAAAAGTGATGAACAAAGTACTATTCGGTGAGTGATCTGTATGTCAGATCAATACATTATTTATGTCAATAACTACAGTAACGGTCTCGTGGAACGGAAAGGTAAGGCAATTTGGGGATTCATCGATTTAGCAGCACTTCCAACACGTGACTATCAACTATCAAGAACTATCAAGACAATTAAGAGTTGTCTGCAGAGGAAATTCACATCCCAACTGGATAAAGCAATTAGAGCCCTAGTTTTCCAAATCACATGGTAACATTTTGTCTTCTCTTAAATCTTATGTGACATTAGTCATTTGTTTTGCGATGATAAACGAACACTCACCTGGACTGGATTTGAACTGAAGCCTAGAAAGAGCCGACGAATCTGTATTGATCACAGTGCGCAACCTGAGTTACAAGGCAAAACATCACATTTTGATCGTTTCGCGCTCACTACTCAGAGAACCCGCAGGAGCATGTAAATTCCGGAACTACAAGCTGCCTGTGCAGGTTTTCTGCAGTTCTTATGCTGATTCGTGGTTCCTTATTACGCGTACCTTCGCCTTGGACATGTCAATATTGACTACATGGTTGCATAACCAGTTCCCCTGGAGACGAACCACTTAATCAGAGGACTGTTGTGGAATGCAGGGATGTGGAGACTTCAAACACATGACCCTTGCCAACTTCCTTCAGTTACATGTCCATTTTGGGTGAAAACAAATGTGAAGAACTAAACGGTCGATCCCATTGATTTTCAAACTGTTTCATAAAACTGCTTCGTAGAACACGACTCCTAAATTGTAGAGGCGGAGATAATCAATTTCTATAGCGAATTTTGATTCCATTGATACTACGGTGTCAGATGTAGAGTGAAAATGATTTAATCTTATTAGAATTTCACAAAGATTTTTCATTTTTCGTTCTTCCCTGCAGGTTATATGAACAGTCTGCTCAACCCGATAATTTACGCGAAATTCAATCGAGATTTCCGATTGCCATTCTGTTACATACTGAAATGTCAGTGCAAGGGTATCAATCAGCGCGTTCGTCGTTCTAGCTACGTAACTCAGTTCGAAGGCCAACGCTATTCCCATTCGATTGCGAACGACAAACAGCGCCCGTCCGCGTCCCGATACCCCCGGAGACCACAGTATCGACTGTCTACTAACTCGGAATTGGCCGTCAATCGGGGATCCAATGCCAGAATACAGAATCTTTCCCACTTGTAATGTTCACGATGGGTTTTGTTCATGCAGGTGCGAAACAAGATGTGATGCAAAACTGTACAAAACAATATTCATCAGAAATTATATTATCAGATTCTATTTCCACGTGTGCCACAATCGGCCATTTTGTATTGGATAACAGACTGACATCAGAGCTCAATGGAAAAAAATATTTCATCTTCATTTCGTCCGGTCTTATTGATTAGCTCAAATCATAAGCAAAAACATAGATTTCCGATGCTTTTATCTGTTCACGTGCAAACTTATATCTGCTTAATAATGGTCATTCACATTTGTAATCAGGTCTGACAATCAAGCCACCAATCTGACCTCGAGAAGTGCTCACGTTAAAAGGCATCGGGTTGGCTCATGCATACACAGCACACATGTTTTTCGCAAGAGATCTGTCCCGGTTTAATATACTGTCAATTCATTCCAACCGATGAATGTTTCCTCGGGTAAACGTTAATTGTATGTGACGTTACCTTTGAATGACCTAGTAAACACCAAGCGTGCTCTTGAAGAAATGTATCCGAACAACTAATTGATTGAGTTTTTGTAGACCACCCTTGATGTGGACGCCTTCTCAGTTGACACTATCTAGCTAGAGATCGAGCATTTTCCGTTTAATTCCCATTTTCCTTTTGACGTGCAAATCTCATTTTCAAAAATCACACCGCGTGCGTTCATGATGAAATGAAAAGAGCCTGTAGTCCGCTTTTGGCATTTAGTTTTGAATTGCTACGAATTAAATACCTCTGGACGACAAACTGTGGTCCGTGAATCAGCTTTGATAGTCATACTACAATGAGCATAACAATGTCTGTTAGACGAAACAAACTACGAATTCTGTGGTTCATTGCACACAGACACCGTGTTACATCTTGCTGGAACGTAGACAAATTATTGAAACATAGTGAATTATTAATTTAGGATTTGTCAATCACTTTTGGCTTTTCCTCAATAGTATTTGACCGCCCACCCTGGGATCGGACTTTATTAGACGCCAAACTGACTCTCAATACTAGTGTACATGAGTCTCATTTGTCAAACCTGTACCCACATTACAACAATCACGAGCAGAAATAAACAGAACCATTGTACCGGAAACAGGGCAATGTCTAGCCGGAAAACCACTGACCAACATAATCGGAAATAGCTATCCCTCAAACGGTTCATACTGGACACTCAGATGAGAATCCAATTCGGTTTCGTGGTCGAAATTAGAAAAGCAGCTATAGTGCGTGGCTAGTCGAAATCATACGTGTTTCGAGTGGTTAACCATCGTCTTGATTGACCTTCTCTATGTACAAATTGATCAGTGAGGTGTTCTTCGAGTCAAACAGGTAAGGGGCATGTGTATTCGGACGATAATTTATTTGATTGTGCTGCATACATTTACTTACTTACTCAAATTAATTCAGTCAACTGAAGTAAACTTGTTATTTATAGCAGACATTGGATGCCTGTTCTTGTTGCATGTAGTTCAGTTATTTTTCGAAACTCCGACATTGAGCCGACATCACTCTAGACCAACTCACAACTCTCGCCAAATCGGCTGATTCGTCCTCCAGGCAATGTGACGCTTCAGTTAGCTATTCACGCGCATCAACTAGGGGCTCGGTTTTGATAACAGGGAACAAACAGATCGGAAGAGTAATTCGCCATGTGATAGGATTTCATGATCAAAAACGAAACTTAAAAATTTTGTGAATGTATGACAGTTGGCAGCATGATGCTCGCCTCTTTCGTTGAATTTTCTCTACCTAAAATGATTTTTAACTGTTACCCTTAAAATATAAGTCTACAAAGGGCCCTACAATGCCGAACTCATTTCTGAAAATTGCGTCTGGTGACAAGCATATATAAATGTTCACCGCTCTATGAAAGGTAGAGCTGAACTCAACTTTGAGTTGTATACCCATCAAAAAGTTAACAGTCAAGAATGGGAGTATGTCAACCAGCAATTTCACCAAGAATGGAAGCTTCGCACAAAATAAACGAGTTCGCATAAACAAAGTAAATGCTTTATCCTCGGCAATGAGTGCACGTACATCAGTCACGAATAATATTCATCAAACAAGGAGCAAAACAATAGGGGAAAATGAACTGTAGAAAACAGATAACCAATGTCAATAACGTAACGGTTTAAATCTCTTTACCACTGCAGCATATGAGTTCCGCACTTGTAGCAAATCTAGCTCAATAAAAGAACAAGAGAACGGCTGTTAGCTCCACATCATGTATGCTTTTATTCACAAAAGCAGGGGTTGGGGTGGGATAAAAAGACGCTTTGTAAGGCCAACAAGTAGAGGATGAGAATCATTCGATAGAATCTTCTGCGTGAGAGTCTCATAATGTTCACAATTTGAGATACAATATTTTGTACACGGTGCTCACGAGAGATACGGCTGGGCACTGATAGGAACTCAGAGGATCATGGAGAAATGAGCTTAATGTTCTTGGTGAATACACAGGAACCACGTCCGGACGTTCATGAACCCCGTGATCAAAGTCGATTTATGCGATGAGTAGGGATAAAAAGTGATTTAAGGCAAAGAATATAAAAACGTAAGCCTTCTGACCTTGTGGAACACATCTGTGATATGATCGGAGCAGGTGAGGAAAGTTTACACCAAGATATATAGTTCGGAGTTGTTTGTTCATCTGTTCTATTGGTTCTGTCAGGCCGGCGGGGCTGACTCCGCTGTGTG